TAGTCCTTTTCAATGCCTTGACCTAGAAGTTTCCACAGGGTTAGATGGATGTGAAGTACTGCTACACTTACCTGAACAATTTATAACATCCCCTGGACTCCCTGTGAGTTTTCTGTAGCATCTTGGCTGACAGTTTGCAAACCACCTGAACTATTTGAGGCAGCTAAAAAACCTTCAAATTGTATCTCTAGTCCAGACTTCTCCTGATATCCAGATCCTTAAAACAGCCCATCACACCCCACGGGCACCTACAACGACCCAGCCAAGTATAAGCTATCATCTTTTTCCAAAAAATAATGTTGTTGCCCTCATCTAAGGATGACATCCTCACCCAACTGTCCAGCCACAACCAGACATTGCCCTAAACACCTCCTTCTCCCAACCTGCACCACATACACACACACACACACACACACACACACAAAATAAACTATTGAGTCTCAGCACTTCTACCTCTCCAAATTTCCCTCCTTCAGCCTTCCCCTGCTAACCCATTCTCCAAAGTACAAATCTGACCAAGTCCTTCTTATGCTCAGAATTCTTCAATCATTTCCTATGTCCACAGAGGAGTCCAAAGGCCAAATAATGGGAATCACGAGGCCCCATGTGGCCTTGTGTTACTTCTCCTGCCTCACCTCTAGCCACTTCCCTGCCCTGGTGCTCTATCACTGAACTTCTGTTGTTTGTTTTCAGTTGCTCCAATGCACCATCTCCCTGACCAACTCCTTGTATACGCCCTCCTCAACCTAGACTTTGACTAATTCTGCTCATGCTATTTCCTTCAGGAGGTTTTTCTTAATCTCTATATAGTCCCTGAGCTGGGGTTTGTGGTCCTTCTCTGAGCTCCTGCAGCTGGCCCCATTCAGATCCCATATCATACATTGCATTGAACCTCAATAGCTAAAACGAAGAGGCGAACTGAAGAATAAGCTCATCAAGGACTGATTAAGACATCTGCCCTGTTTACCTCAGTATCTCCAACACGTATTATAAACTCTGAAGTGTACTGAATGGATAAAGCAAGTGAATGAATGGACTAGGTCATGCCTGTGAGGCTCCCAAGCCCCTCACTGGTTACTGACTCTATCACAGTACTTAACACACTGTACTGTAACTGTTTGTCCTAGTAGCTTATGAACATCTTAAAAGCTCTAGTCTCTTATTTTTGTAATTCCAGTGATTAAAATAGTGCCTGATACTTAGTTGACATTCACTCAATGGTTTCTGAGTACAAAAGGTTACTGAAGGAAATGTAGAAAGATACAGTCAATACCTCTGACAAAAAAGTAAGAATTAGGACAGCAATAAGAAGGGGTAAGGAAACTAAGACTTTTTACTTCATAAATCTCTGTATCAACATTAAATTTATCACAATGTGCATTATTGGTGTTACTGCCATAAAATAGTCCTGTCTTACCAGTGTAAATTAAGTCACGTGTGAAAAACTAGCCCAGAATGCATGACTGCCAGCAGCAGTTTGTTCCAAATGCCCAAGAGAAAAGCAAAATAAAAGCCTGACTTTAAAGAAGTAAACAGACCACTAAAGAAAAAGGACTGAGAAGTGGAGTAATTTAAGGTCTACACAGCTATGCAGAACCATTCCCCCAGGTATTCTGTGGGTAGTCTTCAAAGAAAGTTATTGGAACTCTAGAGACCATAAGTACTAGCCCACTAGCAGGGCAATTCTTTTAATATTTATAATATGCAATTACTTTATCAAAATATGCCAATAACAAAAGATTGTGTCACATGCAGGTTTCTATGGGAACTGTAACTTCTGAGGACACACTGACAATAGATAGGAGGCAAGGTTGACATGACCGCTCAGCAAGTTGTGTTCCGCCTTTGGTATCACAATTGTTTAAAACAGAGTAGCACATCACTGAGCATTATCATAAATTATTTTTTTTTGAGACAGAGTCTCACTATGTCGCCCTCAGTAGAGTGCTGTGGTGTTAAAGCTCACTGCAACCTCCAATTCTTGGACTTAAACTATTCTCTTGCCTCAGCCTCCCAAGCAGCTGGGACTACAGATGCCCGCCACAATGCCCAGCTATTTTTTTTGTTGCAGTTGTCGTTGGTGTTTAGCAGGCCTCGGCTGGGTTCAAACCTGCCTGCCTTGGTGTTACGTGGTCGGCAGCCTAGGTCATAAATTTTAAGCAGATAAAAGAATGCCAACTTTCAGAATGGGAGTATATATTTGCATGTTATGAATCTGACAAAGGGCTGACAACCAGAATCTACAGAGAACTCACACTAATCAACAATAGCAAACCATCTCATTTGTCATTGGGCAAGAGAATGAACAGAACCTTCTCCAAAGACTAATGAATAGTCAACAAACAGATGAGAAAATGTGCATTGTCCCTAATCATCAGAGAAATGCAAATCAAACCACTCTGAGATATTACCTCATCCTAGTGAGAACAGCCCACATCACAAAATCCTAAAACTGCAGATACTGGCATGAATGTGGAGAGAAGGGAACACTTTTTACTCCCTTGGTGGGATTGAGAATTAATACAGCCTTTCTGGAAAGAAGTATGGAGAATCCGCCAAGTGCTAAAAGTAGACCTTCCAGTTGATCCCTCAATCCTATTACTAGGTATCTACCAAGAAGAAAAAAATTCATTTTTCCATGAAGATATCTGCACTTGAATGTTAATCGCAGCTCAATTCACAATCTCTAAGATGTAGAAATAACCCAAAAGCCCATCAACCAATGAATGGATTAATAAACTGTAGGCTATGGATCACAGAATACTATTCAGCCATAAAAAAGATAGGAGACTTTTACATCTTTTGGATTTACGTGGATGGAGTTGAAGAACGTTCTTAGTAAAGTATCACAGGAACAGAAAAGCAAGTATCCAATGTACTCAATACTAACATGAAACCCATACATCAACAACTACAGGTCCACACAAGAGAAAAACACAATTAAATTCAAGTGCAGGGGCGGGAGGAGGGGGCTCAGTAAGCTCTCACCTAATGGGTGCAATGTGGAGATATGTGGCACATATCTCTATGTAGTGAGGGGCTCAAGTACAACCTGGACTTTACCTAATAGACACAAACAGTGTAACCTATTAGTTTGTACCTTCATATTAATATGAAAAAAAGAAAAAAGAATGTACCAATCCAGGCCCTTAAAAGTACTAAGAGTATTAGCTGCCTTAGATCATGGATATGCTATTACCCTCACCTAATCACTACATGTTGTATGTATAAAAACATTCTCTGTACCCATGAATATGTAAACTTATTTGTCAATTGAAAAATAAAATTTAAGAAAAAAGAGAATGCCATTAAGTAATTTCCTGTCAGCAACTAGAAGTGCAAAAACAATTTTTATCGAAAAATAGTTCTAGAATAAGCACAGATCAGAAAATATACTGTATAAAGTCAACCAAACTTTCCAACTGTTAGAAACATGAAATGACACAGCTTTTATAAATATCAATTAAGAAAATCTTCCAAAATGAAGAAAAATGAGTACTCCACTGACGTTACCAGAATACTGGGAGAGGGAGCTGAAGAGGACACAATGAGAAGTGCCTTTGGGAAAGGTCAAACCCAGCTTTCTTTTGCTTAACCTCGCAAGTAGATAAAAGAACTAGCTTTAAAGAATCAGTACATTGTTCAACTGCTAGAAAAGGAAAGCTGGGTAAAGCCTAGTAAGAAGCAGCAACCAACCTTCAATAGAATTTGCCCTAGAGGCAACAGAAAGATAAGTCAATTATAACACTTTGAACTTAGTTTGATCTAAAGCCAAGGCATTTTAAACAGTTTTAGACAAACCTAATTTTTATGAAGCAAAATATTTCAAATGAGTAGCCTCTCCCCTTACAAAACGTGGATTCCCAATTCTTAAAAGTTAAAATGTCATGCTCTACTATGCATTTGATTTAAAGAGCTACAAAGCAGAAAGAGGCTTTTATTTCCCGTGTTTGAAAAATGATGACTAAAAGTAAACCGTCAATTTAAAAACTAATCCCAACATGAGAAAGAATTCTTATTCCATCCAATAGCAGCTAGGAAAATGAGATACCCCTATTCATCCGTAAATCCATCACATAGTTTCTTAATAATTAAGAACTCTGCTTTCCACCATGGAACTATCCCAGCGGAGAAGCCAAACCAAGAAATCGCCATTGCCCGTAAAGCATCAGAAGTCGGAGGAAAAGAATTTCCACTCGCTGAAGACACCGCGCAGAGGCGGCGCGAGGGTCAAGCACCGCGGCCCCCGCCCGCCGCGCAAGGGAAAGTCTCCTGGGGAAGATGCATCCTGGCGGAGCGGCTCCAGGGCACGTAGCCCTTTCCTCTTGAGGGCTGCCCCGACCTCCTTTCCTGAGCTCGGAGAACCGAACCTGGGCCGGGAGCCACGCGGCCCCGCTGCCTCTGGGAGGAAGCGCCCGCACCCGCCACGCACGCGGTCACCGGGAAGGCGCAGCCAAGGGTGGAGAGGGCCCGACCCCTGGGCAGGGGACCGCGAGGGCTGGAGCAGCAGATGCCGGCGAGGGCGCTTAGAGCAGGAAGGATGCAAAGGTCCCCGACGCGGGGCGACGCGGGGCAGCCCGGGGCGTCGTGCGTGGGGCTCAAGCAGAGGCCCCGGCGCCAACTGCGGCCAGCAGGGCGGGCTGCTTCCCCGCGTCCTGGGAACGCTCACTGGACAGCGAGGGAGCTGCAGGGCCCGGACCCTCGAGGGAGGGAAGGGCCGCCGGGTCGAGATGCGACGGCGGGAAGCCCCGGGCCGCGCGGACGCTGGACAGAAGGATGCAGCCGGCTACAGGGCCAGGCGCGGGGTGGCGCCGCGGCCCGCAGTGGGCCCGGCCGCCCCGCCGGAGCGCGCGCAACGCGATGCAGCAACTTCACTTGGCCGCGGGGCCGCGGGGGACCCGGCCCGCGCTCGCCCCTCCCCCGGCAACCACCCGGCCCGGAGCTGAGCAGGGAAGGTTATCTTAGACCGGGAAGCCAGGCTGGTCGCAGCCCGCACTCACCGGTCCGCGGTCCCGCTGCTGGCGCCAGGGCTGTGCTCCGACCTCCATGGTCCCGCCGCGCCGGGGCGGCCCGGCGCTCCCGTTCGCACCACACCGCACGCAGCGGCGCGAGCGACGCCGCCTCCGGCCGGGCTACGGCCGCGGCCACGCCCCCTCCCGGCGGGGGGCCCGGCCGGAGCAGGAGGGGGACTCAGCTCTGGCTCCACCAACCAGGGCCCACTCACGGGGCCGCTCCACCAGGATTGGCGAGCCCTTGGACCAATGGAGAGCCGGCAGGAGTGCAGAGCGCCGGCGCCGAGGGGCGGAGGATTACGGAGGAGGCGGCTCTCACCCTTCGTCCTCCGCCCTCCGCCAGGGGGAGGCTCCGTCCGGCTGAGTCCCCTCCAGTTCCAAGAGGTGGTATACTCGGGACAAGGGGGCCTTTCTATCATCTCTGGTTGCTAGGTACCCACAGGAGTGTCTTTGGATTTCCACCTATACGCTAATCTCACCTGGTTTGGGGGCTCCTGGAAACAGAGGTCTGTCTACCTGTAAGGTGCTGGATGTCCTTTGGAGTTGAGGCTGCAGGCAACCCTGAGAGGATTATAGCCCTGTCATCAGTTAGTTTTATGCCCTGGTCAAATCCCTTAACATTCTGCCTTTAAGTCTTCCGGTCTTCTCCCTCCACAGATTCTTCCTCCCTTTTTATTAATCTTATCCAATTTCTTTCCACCCTAGATGTAAAAATATCTACAATATCTATTAAACATGAGAAATCCCTAAAACTACCAGCCCAAGCCTTGGCACAGTGGAACATAGCCCGTTGCTGCCGAATTGACTGAGACGTAAACAAACTAAAGAAAAAGAAAAGAAGTGAGGAGGAAAGGAAAGGACTAGAAAAAACAGGAAAGCCAAATATTTCTACTAGGTGTCCCTTAGGAAAGAGTTTAAAAACAATGAATGGAAATGTTATCTTTATTTACTTGCATGCCTTTATTCGTTTTGATTTACAAATAAGATAAAATAGAAAGGTATAGAAAAAAATTCAATTCCCAGTGAAGAGTGGAAGAAAAACTGATTCAAGTTGGTTCACTTTTGCCTTTACAAATGTGTGAGGATGATCAACATCTGTTTTAGTTACAGCAATTAAAAGTTGGGGAAAATAAATAGTTGATAATTTTACCAAAGTTTGCAGCACCGGCAATGCAGTGGAAAAACTATGCACTCCTCTTCATAAAATGTCTAATCTATTACCCTACATTACTTTCAAAGGAAAGATTTTAAAGGCTCTATTTTAAGATGACTCACATGGGTCATTATGAAGGCTTTGAAATACAGAAAAATCAAGAAAAAGAAAATCCACGGGAAAAGAAACAAATGAAGCCCTCCTAGCAACACTTATAAACCCAGCAAGTTGAAACTTGCACAGGTAAATCATAAAGAACACGGTTGTGGACTGTGTTTCTTGGAAGTTAAATAATGGACCTTAACCCAATCTGTCTCAAAACTTTAATAGTGACCTATGTGTATTCAGTTTTGTTATCATGCCAACATAAAATATTCTAGTAATTAATAAGGTAAAAAGGATGTTAGTGAATGATTCCAATATCCCAGTATTTGGTACATATTGATACTAGAGTGATAAACTTGTGCTGAGTTCAATGCTAAACTGACATACAAATTAAAATGACTTTCATCTTCTCTTACCCAGGGGAGTATATCTATATTTAGATCATTAATTTAGAACTCAAAATATGAAGGTATAGAAATCCAGAGTGTGTGTGCAAGGTTGCTACCACATTTCCTTAGCTGCTCCATCTGCAAAGACCTCTGCTTTGTATGAACTGCTACTACGCTTAGTTTGGACCCATTATTAGCCCTTAGTCACATTGTCCTAAAGTGTTCAGGTTTGTTTCATATGGGTCAATCTTATCTCTGCAATTAGATCGTCATTTCCATGAGGATAAGATCCTGATTTAGTACACCTCTTTCCCTTCCTCAGAATGCCTCATCCAGTGCAGGACATGTAGCAAATATAACTCTACCCTTAGTACCATGTCCATAATAAAAAGAAATCATATGAAATATAGTGCTTCTGTGACCCAGTCTTTTAAATAAAAATTTCTCAGTCTTGTTAGGAGACTAATACCCACCAGTAATAACACTCACCCTTAAAGAGTAAAAACTGTTGCTGAATCAGGGAGTGAATAGGTTACCTGTAACAGAATCTTGACTGGAGTGCTTATCAAATAGGAGCACTTCTTACCACAAAACAGTAAGTCTAGAGACGGCTCTGGGACCTTTGTAATTCCACAGCGTCATTATGTCCAAGGCTCCTTTTAGCCATTGGTTTTACTGTCCTTGTTGTGTGACCTTTGCCATCATCCTCACAAGATGGCTGCTTCCCATTAGGCATTGCGTCACATTCAAGAAAACGGGGAGGGGTGGTAAAGGGTCAAAGTCAAAGAGGTACATGCCAATTGAGTCTACATCTTTCTAGGAAGCCCTAACCAGAAACTTCTGCTTGCTTCTTATGGGCTAGAGCCAGGGGTCCTCAAACTTTTTAAACAGGGGGCCAGTTCACTGTCCCTCAGACCGTTGGGGGGCTGGACTACAGGCCCTGGGACAAGTCAGCTGCTAAGCAGGACAGGTAGCAGCGGCAAAGACACCTGGCGGACAGATAAATGTCCTCAGTGGGCTGCGGGCCCAAGTTTAAGGATGCCTGGGCTACACGTATGTCACAGGAGTCTGAAATACTAAGCATTTTAAACTGAGACTTTGTATGGAACAATGTTAGGGTTGTGTTAGTAAAGGAGTAAGGGAGTACAATACCTGCCAGAACTGCATATTAAATGAAATTCACACTGAGACCTTACTCTACTTATTCATGAGAAGATCCACTTTATAAAAAATGAAAAAGCCACTCAAATCTCAATAAAACACAAAGAACCCAGTTTTAAATTGAGCAAATGATCTAAACAGACACCTCACCAAAGTAGAGATGGCAATATACAGATGGCCAAAAGCATACGCTCAATAATGTGTGTCGTTAGGGAATCACAACTTAAAACAGCAATGAAATACCATGACATACCTACTAGGATGGCTAAAATATAACAAACTAACAAAAACTGACAATACCAAATGCTGGCAAGCTTACAGAGCAGAGGGAATGCTCATTTTATTGCTGGTGGGAATGCAAACTGGTTTAGCCCCTTTGGAAGACAGTTAGCTATTACAAAGCTAAGCATAATCTTACCATACAATCCAGCAATCACACTCTTATGTATTTAGTCAATTGAATTGAAAACTTCTGTCCACACAAAAACTTATACCCAAATGTTTATTCATAATCAACAAACATAGGAAGAAACAAAGATGTCCTTCAGTAGTTGAATGGATAAACAAATTGTGGTACATCCATACAATGGAATGTTATTCCGTGAATAAAAAGAAATGAGCTATCAAGCCACAAAAATGCATGAGGGAACCTTAAATACATACAATCAAATGAGAGCTACATATTATATGATTCCAAGTATATGACATTTTGGAAAAGGTAAAAATACGGACACAGTAAAAAGATCAGTAGTTGCTAAGGGTTAGGAGACGGAAAGAAGGAAGGATAAACAGGTGAAGGCCAGGATTTTTAGGGCAGGGAAAACTACTCTGCAGAGTTCTGTAATGGTGGATACACATCAGACATTTGCACAACACAAAGAATAATCCCTAATTTAAGCTGTGGATTTTAGTTAATAAAAATGCATCCATATTAGTTCATTAATTATAACAAATGTACCATATTAATGCAAGGTGGTAATAAAAGGGGAAATAGTAAAGAGGGTAGTCAATGTATGGAAGTCAGTGTTCTGTCTCCTCGCTTATTCTATAAATACAAAACTACTAAAAATTAAAATCTCTTAGTTGTTTGCCAAAAAACCACAAACCAGTAGGAACCATAATTAACATGCAAAGAGAAAATGTCCTTTTTTGTTTTTATTAAGAGAGAGCACCTTGCTGTGTTTATGGACTTCTTTGCAGTCACAAATTCCATTGCCCTTCAACTATTCTTGAATCTTTGTTAAAAGGTTCTTCGGGGGAGGGAGAGGGATTCGAGGGTTCACTTCTGTGGTTCATCTTGTAAGGGTACAAGTGAATCTTTCTATGAGTAGAATATGAATGTTTTGACATAATAACTAAGAAAGTTACATGAAGGCTATGTTAACCAGTTTGATGGAAG